ATAGAGCAAAAATATCCTAAACCAAGAGAAAAGGTGGCTGGCTGCAACCTTAGTCGCTTTTTTTATACGCCTAACTTCACGATCTTAATGTAAGAGATTTGGTTGGCCACCACAACCTTACTTTGCATGCTTACAAATATATAAAGTTGCTTCCAGTACCGGAAGGAAGGTGAGCCTATGACTTCTTTGCACAATTCAACAGTCTCCCCTAAGCGGCAAACCTCCTTCGGGTTCCGGAGAGACCACATTACGAATTCCTTCCTACCAAATTTCCTTTCGAAATGGAGAGTCACATCACAAGACACTCTATACTCATTCACATTAAGTTTGGCCAGCGAGAGGTTGTAGATAATGTGCGGCTTTCTTGCGCCACCTGCCAGGGCTGGAAGACCTCGGATAAATCCTATTTGACTTGACTAAATTCGTATCTTTCTCGAGGGTCAAATGGCTCCACTTTCGCTTTCCTAGCATCATTTCAAATGTGGACGCAAAATGATGTGAACTAGGAGTACAGATTTCACTGTGGGTGTACTGATCTCTTCCACTATACAAATGAAAGCACTAATATCGTATTCTATTAAGTGAAGCAGTTGAAGTCATTCTCTCTTTCATGACATGTGAATGCCATGTCATCAGTGCGCTCAGATCTCTGAAGTAATGCTCACCTTCTCCTCATTTCATGAGCCGCATGTAGGATTCTTTATCTGAGACCATATTTGCTGGTACCACGGGTCGGCTGATGAGTCGAAAAATCTCAGCTCAACTCTCTTGTATGGCTTCACTCCAAGGTCAGGGAGTATAAAAAGCATTTCATATTTTGTATGATTCATAAATTCCGAAAATATGTCTGTTGCGCTATTTATCTCTGCCAGGAAATCCAGTGAATGTTCTTCTGTACTAGGCATCGCCAACTGAAAGCCTTGTCTTGATACTAAACAACTGTAAGTCCTACGAGTTAAGGTATTTTCTGTATTGAATAGTATAAATCCATGCTTCGTGTCGTAAATAACTTGGATTTATTCGCAAAAAAAGATCCCTTGTTGCCTATCATGTCGATTATTAGTATCAACTATTTTTTTACTCAGTAAATATATCTGCTTATCTCGAGGCTTCAGAAAACCTCACTTTACCTGCATGTAAAAAATGAGTTTATTTTAGCCTCATTTGATTGTAGATCCTTGGCTTCTCATAAATAGCCCATTATGCATTTATAAGCTTAATAACAAAATAAAATATGCATATAAAACAATTTACTGTCTGTTTGCCGGCAAATAAGTTTACAATTGTGCTGTAAACGAGGCTCATCTTCAAGGAATCTTTCCCGAATTCATCGCTTTTGTCAGGAAGAGCAGTGATGCATTAGAAAGCTATGGCGGATTTATGATATTCAATCCAAAATTCCATTCAAAGAATGTTTGGAGTGTTTTGAAGTTAGGCCTCACCACAACCAGAATGCGGATCCGCACGGAGTTGAGACTATCAATTTAAGCGTAAACCTATTCGACCCCAATGAATCTGTGCTGAGTTTTCGCCCGACTTGCCACTACTTGAATTGTCTGACAAAGAAAGCCTTATTAAAAAACGATCTACGATCTTGTACGAAATCAAGGATCCTCTCCCAAAACTCTCAAGGAGCTACTGTAAGACCACTTTTTCAAAATACCAACGATATCATATTTCCCACTATTTTCCGTGATTTGGTTCCTCGAGGTCGGTGCTGACGCCTTGCTCGGTATGTAAATAAAGGTCTGACTCTTTATTTTTGGCAGACTCTCCCTGTTTTAGCATTCTATCTCTGTCCAACCATTTCTCCCATTCTACTACAACGATACTTAAAGAAGCATTTTCAGCAGTCCCCCACACAGGATTGGGAATATGCTTAGACGGACAGACATACAGACACACATAAGCTGGACACTGTCTGGACCTACCCTCTTCTTCATTAGACGCCCAGTGTAGCTCTGTGGCTCGGTCCGGTAGTTCCAATCGAGCCGAGTGCCAAATAACAATGGCGCTAGCAACGGTATTCTGCTGAGGAGACGATAAATGAACAAAGGCCGAGGTCCGGTCTCCACGATGAGTATTCGCCTTTGACGTCTTTGTTGAAGTCTTGAATGAAGGCTTGTCTTCATGCCTCCTAGAAGGCTCATCGTCTCCTCGAGAGGACATTTCGCCTCGGCGTGCAGACGAGCGTTTGGTAGATCTCGTTCCATCGGGGCCAAAGAGCCTGCGGGACAACTGATTGAATCTGTGCTAGCCTCATATTTGGCGTTCGCTATGTCTGACTGCTCTAATTGATGCTGCTGCTGGGAATGATGATGATGTTTCGTGTTGTCGAGCGAGACAGCGTCCGCTGTATCGAGATAGTGCACCAGACGACTGGCTAACACGCATCCTGCTGTGCCCGCGCCAACTGGAGAGGTACAGAGGGAGTAAAGGAAGAGCAAAGTAACACTTAACCAGAAACTTTGCCGTTGAGACCTTAATTTGGTATGAAAGAGATCCGTAGGCCGATAGCACCGAAAGGCTTCCACTGATTTCCACTGTTCGGCAGCCGATTGGTGGACACAGTTTACGAGACATCCTCACTCGTTTCGGGTGAAACGGATTCAACATGTCACATGACAGGCATCTCCAGAGCTGGAACTCAATCTTGCAAAAGCCTTATGTTAATAAAAATTCAAGAAATAAAGGTCTTCATAGCAATGCCATGTAAAGAGAATCAACGAAATCTAACGGAAAAACTCTGGTTTCGAAGCATTTTTTAGTGTTTTGTGAGATGAAATGCCCTTTAGAAGGAAAGTTGGTTTAAAGGTCATAAAAGAGCTAAGCATAGGCCTAAACTTGAAAATAGTCAATAATATGTCTTACACATTTTCGAAGTAAGTAATTTTTAAGACTTCCAGCAATTCTTGAAGAGGAACTTAGTCACTTTAGGTCACTTAAAATGATGTTTAGGGTGAAAGTTGAATTTACTCACAAACAGATGAGACATAGAAAAGTTAGAAACTACATTCGAGCCGGAATGAGGTAGTTTTTTGGGAGGCAGGGCTAGGGGAAATTCAATGGCATCATGCGGCCTATTCAGCCCATTGTAGGAAAACTCAACTATCAGTCCTTGGCTCATTTTAAGCGACTTAAGTTCTCGACTAAGTTCATATCCAAGAAGAACTGGTATTCGCAGAAACTCCTTACTTCTAAGATAGGTAAGAAGTTAAATTCCATTTTCTAGAGCTCATGCTTATTTTCTGGCCTTTTCTGATTTGTTGAGTCAGCAAATAATAATAAAGTATTGGATTAATTTAAGCTGATTAATTCATCCTCCTAAACGATATGTAGTTCCTACTCAGATTTCATTAGTGATCTATTGACCTTCAGACATAGTAAGAGCAAGAATTATTATTATCATTAATTTATTGACCTATTACAGTTGATGCGTCTTCCCGCTCTTACTATGTCCTAAGGTTAACAGATCACTAATGAAATCTGAGTAGGAACTACATATCGTTTAGGATGATGAATTAATCAGCTTACATTAATCCAATACTTTATTATCATTCAATCAGCTTCAATTAATCCGATACTTTATTATTATTTGCCGACTCAACGAATCAGAAAAGGCAAGAAAATAAGCCTGAGCTGAGAACTTTGTGGAGAACTTAAGTCACTTAAAATGAGCCAAGGACTGATAGTGAGTTTTCCCACAATGGGCTGAATAGACCACATGATGCCATTGAATTTCCTCTAGCCCTGCCTCCCAAAAGGCTACTTCATTCCGGCTCGACGGTAGTTTCTACCTCTTCTATGTCTCATCTGTTTGTGAGTAAATTCAACTTTCAGCCTTAACATCATTTTAAGCGACCTAAAGTGACTAGGAACCTCTTCAAGAATTACTAAAAGCCTTAAAAATTACTTACTTCGAAAATATGTAAGACATATTATTGAATATTTTCAAGTTTAGGCCCGTTCTCAGCCCTTTTATGACTCATTGGAGCCACTAACAGAACCATTTAAAGTAATTCACCAATCGATTATCTTTTATTGGGGATTAGTCATTAATTTCTGAATCTTCAAACAAGGCCTTTCTTTTTCCTTAAATTAATCATTTATATCAGTGGTTCCCAAACTTTTCCTAGTCGCGCCCTTTTTCAATTAAAATTTTTCCATGGCACCCTACCCTAAGTATGACTATTCATAATTAAGAGATAAAAATAAATAAAACTGGTGTATCTTCATTATTTTTTCAAATTTATTGACATTAAATTAATATTGAATAATTAATGCGATGGATGAGCTTGCAAATCACTGCACATTTTCTCAAATGGAAGCTTCTACAATATTCCGCGGCTCCCCGGGGCGCCGCGGCGAACAGTTTAGGAATCACTGATTTATACCATGTCAAGGTGTTTTTAATAATCCCTGCAAAGCATCAGTTCTGATTCAAGAATTACTGATTATCTCGAAGTTACTTGCTTCGAGAATAAGTAACGTGTTCGATTAACCTGGCAAAAGTATGTTTGTTCAATTGACAGTCCCACAATAAAATGTGATTTGAGAGATGTCTTGTCTTGAATGTCACACCTACCCTGTGACCCATTGGCCCCAATGGCTGTGTTGTCAAGTGCTAAAGTCGCCAAGATACCTACTTATATCGCAAATGAAGCTCACTCCAACGCCTTAGTCATGGACGATCTAACACTTAGTCTCGTTGCGGCCAAAATCATGATGCATGCCACTTTGCTTTCATTTCCATTAATCCATAGCTTTAGACCAATCTACTATTTAGGTTTGCCTTAAAATTTACCCAAAGCTTGATGGAGGAAGAAAATGTTCATACTATCCATATTCAAGAAAAGAGTATAGTTGAGTTATTAAATTAAGCGCAAAATCTCGCAACTGTCTCCACGCACATCGCTTTATTTGCTGTGCATTCCAATGGTTTTAGACGAAGAGATTATGGCATTTACGAAAATTGCACGGCGAAAGAAATTTATTATGCCCTCTTTCGGGCTGTCTGAAATGTAGTTCTTAAATCGTGTATAGAATTCAAATCGACGAAATAACTTTACTAGAATGGGAAAAATGCAGTCTTCTGCGAAATAGGCTGCATCTTCACTGGAAAGTGAGGCAGATGGGGTAGTATAGCATGATTTTTTCATCAGTTAAACCCATCACTCTTTGTATTTTGCGAAAAAACTCGACGGTGGCTTGCGCAAAATAATCGCTTAGACTAGGCCTGAAGGGAAAGAGCGAAAAGTGAGAGAAATTGTGAAAAACAGTCTAAGTCCACATGAACCACCTTTCAACTGCTCATCTCCTGAAACCACGAGTTTAGCCAGATTTTGTGAAACTTTTCGAGAAGTTGCCGATGCATTTTATTGAGCTTCTAGTTTTACCGTAAACATGCCATTTAGAGGCATAAGAGCAGGTTAAAAAGCAGAAGTTGATTGACCCTCGTTCCATACTTTTTTCTTGCTTTCAGCGAAACTTTCAAGAATTAAACTCAACCTAGTTCCAGGTTATAAATCCTTAAATAGGATTATCGAAACATGCCAGAATATTCTATAAAATGATATGCAAGACCATTAATACAAGTGTTATTAGTGCATATTTGGATGTTGTCAAATTATGCATCATTTCCTAAC